TTCTTCTAATGAATCCTTTAAGTTTGTTTGTATAGTTTCCTTTTATATTCTACACCAACTGTGGTACAGTATATATTAAGTTTGTGCGGACGTATGTCCAAAAAGGCTTAAGATAGGCCCGTCTCTTATTATACCGATCGATTCCGATTCTGTTGGTCTGTCTGTTCATTTGTCTGCCTATCCGTCTGATGTCTATCGATGTACATTTTTCTTCAAGCAACAGGTGGCAATAAGAGATATTTTTATAAAATTTGGTATACTGACATGCTTTCACCCAAGGACGAACGCTATTGGAAATGGTTTGGACCGGTATACGCATTTTAACCGTTGCCCATATAACGTACCGTTTTGAAAAGCCGTTATATGGAAAAATATTGCAAATTTTTTACAATTTTGTAAACAATAGTCGATAGTACGAAAAATGAATCTTTATATCAGGTTTTTTTGGTTAAAACAACCCGTGTACAAACATTCCATCAAGAACAGTAAAATTCAAGAGATTCGAACTCGTAACGATCTCATGAGTTGTCATTCGGTGGCTCGCTTCAATGAATTTCGGCCTTTACTTTGAGTTTATCAGGTCCTGTTTGAAAGTGACTTGACCTTAGAGAAAAAGAGAAAGTGCTGCAAAGATGAATTCCTGAAATTAAAATGACCACTAAGTTGCAATAACTTACGTTATACACTTTAAATTAATTTCAAAACTTTTCTCTCTCTCCCACTCTCTCGATTTACTATATAGAAGAAATGTGTGATTTTCGAATATTATACTAAAGGTGTAAACCTTGTCAAGGCATTCGATCAAAGTGGTAAATAACATTTACGGACAATTCTCACAGCTAATATTTTCTCGTTATATTCTACATAGTCCGTGCATGGGGGCAATGATGGACGACTCAAAAACCAAACGATTACAGTAAAGTAAGAAAAGAAAAAACGCTGTAACTACCATTAAATATCCTACACAACTTCCCTTACTCATATCTCACTCAGGATCCTTTTAAACTAAGACGTTATTATGGTAGGTAGTGCCTGTTGAAACATTTTCGAAAGTGTTCGTCCTTGGACCAAAGCATGATCCTGTTGTTAATTTATTTTAAAAATTGTGGCCTGGAGATTGAACACAGAACAATTAAACAGACAGATAAGATTATACCGATAGTCGGTATAATAAAAGGTAAAACTATTTCAAGTACTTTTGGGTGTTGTCCGCACTCAACTCAATATACCGATGTGGTGCAGGGTGTAAGAACATATTATTATTATTATTATTATTATTATCATTATTAATTTAGCCAGAGAATAAATCCTAAGACGAAAGCCTTAAAACGCTAGCATCTAAAGTTTAGCGTCTTATATAAACACAAAATTTTTTGATAGTATTACGAATCTTGGCAAAGAAAATAAGAAATGAAAGTTGAACATCGAGCTGTTTCGGTTGAATACTGCCTCAAACATAATCTCGGACGTCAGAAACTAGAACATTTGTGTTCTCGGCTCTGCAAGAAGATGTGTTACGCGGCAATAAATAGAATACACTATGCATCCAGTATGATCATCGTGATAAGCGCGAATATTGCGAGCAAAATAAAAGTTTTGAAAAAAAAGGTCCGCATTGCATCACACTGCTAAAATAGGGAAGAGCAAGCGGCGATGAGAGTATTATTCAGTGATTATCCAAATTAATTCTTGATGCAGCCGTCGTCTCCGAATCGAGATCGCTATTCAGGCGAATTTCGCGGATTGGTATGACGTAACTCCGCAAAAGGTAAGTGTATATAGTATTAAAATTATATCGTCGGCTTTACCCCAACAGTTTAGCTAATAATCGAAGTTAGTTCAACTATCCGAATCGATCTTGAGGGCTTATGTGGAAAGCATTATATTCAGAAAAATTGATTGTTTGATGCTTACTGTCATTTCTATCAGATTGTAATTTTTCTCAAAGGCAACGCTCAAGAGCATAAGTTACCCATGGCATATTTATTACTGATCGTTGCAGTTTTTGAAGAAATTAAACGAATTGAATGTTTACGTTAAGTGATTCCAGCAAAATTTTGCAACATATTAAGAGAGTTGAGTTACTCTAAATGAGGACCGGTGATGAATTCTCTTAAACGAACGATTTTTTCTTCTTTCACGGGTTTTCTTTATTGCTTAGATACTTTGACCTGGTTTTGCTTAATTATTAACGGAATGTGTAGCTTTTAGAATCTCTGAGCATTCTCAGAAGTACACCTTTCGGGATCGAGTGTAAAAGGATAAATGGAATGGAATGCATGCCTAAATGTTGACTTGGCTAAGTAGTGCTTATGGTTAAATCTCTTGCACTAA